ACAAAGTCGTCTCGCTTGCTTGTGCAACCCAAACAATGGCGACATTTTGTTTTTGTTGCTGGATGTAGTTTGCTTGTTTGTTTGATTGTTGCGTTGTTGTTGTTGTTGTGTGTGTGTGTGTGTTAGATGTTGTCAACTTATTTGTTTGTGGCTAAAATCATTTTGTTTTGCTGTCTGGTTGTCGTCAACAAATTGTTCTGTTGTTGTTGTTGTAATTTGTTTGAAATCTTAAATTAAACTTTCTATCCAGCATTTATCATCCTTCTTATTCCTCAAAACTTGTTAGAAATATATCTACAATATGCGGCAATAAAAAAGCAGCTGAAAAGTTTTAAATTTAAATGCAAACAGAAAAATCAACAAAAACTACATTCGATTTTCAAGATTTACATTGTAATTAAACCATGGGAGCTCTCAGCTGCGTTTGAAACATCAACTGCTAAGTCATTTAGAGGTGGTTGCGCTCTTATCAACTGAGCCATCGCGCCAAACACCATTAAGTGGTGTAAGTGGTGTTATTGTTGCTAATGCTAATTGCTTGAGTTTTTCGAAAGATGATGCATAACGTAGATGATGACAATAGATAAGAATGGAAATAGAAACATATTCTTGAAAATAAAATGAGCATTTTGAAAAAAAATTTAACTATGATTTAGAAGATAGCGAAACGAATATGGAAAAAAGATGAGATCGTGAAGATAAGGATGATGATGAAGAAAAGAAGAAAAAGAGAAAGAAAGAGAAGAAAGAGAGAAAGAGAGAGAGAAAAAGAGAGAGAGAGAGAGAGAGAGAGAGAGAGAGAGATAGAGAGATGATAAATTCATGCCTATACCGCCGGACCTTGGAGTCTGACTTGATGATGTTATTTTTCAACCAGCAAACCGTAAAATATAAAATTAATTTTAAATTCATTCATTCGTTCAATTGTTCGTTTATTTATTCGTTCATTAATTCAATCGTTCGTTCGTTCGTTCCTTCATTCATTCATTCATTCATTCATTCATTCATTCATTCATTCATTCATTCATTCATTCATTCATTCATTCATTCATTCATTCATTCATTCATTCATTCATTCATTCATTCATTCATTCATTCATTCATTCATTCATTCATTCATTCATTCATTCATTCATTCATTCATTCATTCATTCATTCATTCATTCATTCATTCATTCATTCATTCATTCATTCATTCATTCATTCATTCATTCATTCATTCATTCATTCATTCATTCATTCATTCATTCATTCATTCATTCATTCATTCATTCATTCATTCATTCATTCATTCATTCATTCATTCATTCATTCATTCATTCATTCATTCATTCATTCATTCATTCATTCATTCATTCATTCAAGGACCGCTTATTCTAGATGCATCGATAAACATTCTCACAACAATTGTTATAAGCTTATTCAATTGTGAACCGTGGTAAGCGGTGGGTAGCGAAGTTTTTCATTTTCTTTTGTCATTATTATTTAAAAAATGAGCAATTTAGTTTTTCTTTTTTTTGTATTTATATTTTTATTGCATATGTCTTTTTGTATTTTTCTCTTTGTATCTTTGCAGATAGATATATCAAGGTTTTTCATTAAATTCAATGGCATTTTTTGTTGTACAACAACAATAGGAGTTGTTGTTACAGTTGCAGTCTTAATGGCGATCTTTGTTTTCTGATCATTCATTCACATCATCCTCGCTCTAATCATTGTTATCACCATCTTATTCATTGCCATTTTGTCCTTGGTATACTTGTCGGAGTTTTAAAATTTTTTTTCTGTCATCATCAGTGACTGCATTATCTACATCACCATCACCACTATTGTCATCATCTTCGCCATCATCATCACCGTCATCATCTTCACCATCATCATCATCGTCATCATTCGCAATAACATGAAAATCATTCCAAATAATTATTGAATGTAAATTTATCAGTATTATCAGCAGTCACAATGCAACAGAAGTTTTGCTACAAGCGATATGATGTTTTCAAAAAAATTAAATAATTTTCAAAAATTATTTAGAATTAAGTTAATTTAGAAAATTTAAATAAAAATTAAATAAAAAACTAAACCAACGAAACAGTGAACAAACTAGAGAATCATTGAAAAACAAACTGAAACAAAAACGATAAATGAACCAACAAACAAACACAAACAAATACAAACAAACAAACAAGCAAGCAAACAAACAAACAAACAAAATATAAACAAGAACAATCTAACGGGAAACATTTAGGCGAAGAACAAACTGTGAGCAATGGTATTCATCGTGGATCATATCATATATGAAGTCTGTCCGCTTCTCTACCTGTCTGTCTGTCTGTCTGTCTGTTTCTCTGTTTTTAACTCGGTCTGTCTGCCTGTCTATCAGTTTGTCTGCATCTCTTTCAGTTTATTTTTTTCTGCTGTTTGCATTGATACTTATTCTTTTAGATATTTAAATATGCGTGTGTATGTATCGATATATAGTTTTGTATTGTTCTTCTTACATATTATGTTTTGTATCGATTTGTATACAATGTTTTGTATACCCAGGCGTATTTATTTTGGTATCGTGTGTCTGTCTGCATGTATGTCTGCGTATGTGTATTGTTTGTATGTTTGTATGTATTGTATGTCTGACCGTGAAATTTGTGGCGCCTGCCATCCTTAACAAGCCTATGTTGGATACCTAGACATGAATGAGATCTTTATCAATGTATCTTTTATTTCTTTATTTTATTTTTGTAAAAGAAGGAAAGAGAGAGAGAGAGAAAAAGAGAGAGAGAGAAAGAGAGAGAGAAAGAGAGAAAGAGAAAAAAAAGAAAGAGAAAAAGATAGAAAAAGAGAGAAAGAGTGAGAAAGAGAGAAAGAGAGAGACTGGCAGAAGGATGAACGCATCTATACATTCCATTCATTAACTTTTGTTTGTCTGTTATTTATTAATCATAATTTGTTTATTCATTCAAACACTCATCTACTTCCAATGCAGGTGGCGTTGGTAATATTTTCAGTAGTTTAAGTAACGCTACAACATATACGTCTGTAATGTTACATAATGGTTCTATGTACATATTGGTAATATGTTATGTATGTACACACATACATAACCTATAACCAACATAACTAACAATATAACATAGCATAACATAAATACAAGTAAAAAAGGATGTATTAAAAACACTAGTAAAACAAATTACATACGCGTATTGTATAGGTAGCATTTAGCAGCAGAACTAGCAGAGTGAGTTAGTAATATGGACAGTGTTGGTAACAATGTAAGCAGCCCAATCGATATACGCTATGGAAAAGTCTTAAAGCAATGAAGAAAAAAAAGTTAATAGGATAAAATTTGAAACAATGACGCTTGGCTCATGTTATAAACGTCATCATTCTATGGCAGGTCACGTGATATTTAACTTGTTGTTGATGTTGTTTGTTGTTGTTGTTGTTGTTTCATGCTATTTTCTTGTCATTTTATTTTTGACTGTGTTAATTGTTGTTGTTGTTGCGATGATATATTCTTGATAACGTTGACGTAATGTTGCGGCTGTCTAAGAATGTTGGTCTTGACATTGTTGCGAATTTGCGGTAGTTGCTGCAACATTGTTGCCGGTCGTTGTTACGACAAAGTAACGGTGTTAATAAAAAAACCAAATAAAAAATATTAATAACAACAAATAAATATCAACAATAATAACAACAACAACATCATCACCAACAACAATCACAACAACAACAAATCCACGACAACAACAACAACAATCACAACAACAATAATAACTATAATAACTATAATAATAATAATAATAAAAACATCGCGTGTCTCAAACCAAAATGTCAATTAGCAAATGTGACAATAGCTAAGAAGATTTAAACAATTGCCCATGATCACCGTGACAAGAACCTATGCTATATGACTATCTATTTTTATCATTATTATATTTATTATTAATATTAATAATTATGTTATTATAATATCATTAGTATTATTAATTCTTTTAAGATTAAGAGGATTGTTAAAAACTTTTACAAACTTTTTCGGGAAAGAGCCTTTTTAAACTCCACTAAAGATGATATCCAACTGTGTGCAAGTTATTATCAGCATTAGCAATGTACCAGAAGTTTTTACACAAATGTACACACGCAAGCTAACACATACACACACACGAAGACACACACGCACACGCACACACTGTATATATATATTTATATATAGATATACACATATATATAAACACATAACTGTAAATATCTGCACATGAAGGCCCACAAGAGTCAATGAAACATGGATTCAGACATACGTATACACACATGAAAAAGGTTTCTACACAAATGTACACACAAAGGCATGCTAACACATACACAAACACACACAAACACACACACACTAACAGCGAGCATAATACAGTTTGATATCTAGGGCTTTATTTTATCTCCATTTATTTACTTTGCATGCTATTTATGTTTTTGTTTGGTTCTGTATTGTTTCTGATTTTATTTTTTTGTGTTTTGTGTTTTTTTTGTTTGTTTTTTGTTTGTGTAACGTTCTTTTGTGCTCTTACAATTTGAAAAACTATAAACAAATTGGACGGGACAAAATGGCGTGTCAAATAATCCTGGATATCCTTGATATCATGATGATGTCACAATGACGATGATGATATCATTATCATGATGATGTCATTATCATGATGATATCATAATGGAATCATATGGTATCATATTGATGATGATGTCATAATGGTGATGATGATGATGCCATGTGGGTGATAATATGATAATTACCATGACAGTGTGACGTCATTATGATGACATTATTAAGGTGATAATAATCTTACTGGGCACCATGATTTCACCGACGATGATGACAAGGACGACGACGACTTTAATTTTGACGATGACGTCATCGTCACCATAAATTGAGATAGTCATCATAGAAGGTCTCAATGTAAATGGTAATGACGAAGTTGGAGGAGTTTTTTTAACAACTTGCAGTGATTACAAAGATGATGAGGCAGATGAGGAAGAAGATGAAGATGATGATCTCGTTTAGCCCGGTACGACGATTTCGTCTACTGAGATAATAACGAGTCAGATGATCCGGAGTTCATTCCAAAATTAAAACCTCTTTACAATCATAAGAGTTATAACGGCGATGATGATGAATGAAGTTTACAATCATGATGTTACTGACGACAATAGAGGTTGTATGTTATCTTGATGGTCGTTATGATGACCATCGTTATGATGGTCATTATGAAGATGATGAAGACAACCATGATGGTTTAACTGTATGGTGAAGATAGCTGTAATCATTGTGATCATAACGATTGCTTATATGTATTCTATATATTGTACACGTACAAATTTTGTCTGTGTGTTTTGTATATGTGTGTTTGTACTATGTATATATGGATACGTATTTATTGTACATATGTATGTACATATTATGTATGATTTGACTCATAACTCTTTGATGATAGGACAATCGAATTGATAAATTTTTAAAACATGAAACATTAATTTAAAGCATTGTAGTAATCATTCTCATTGTGTTTTTTCCAATATTTATGTCTGCGACCACCATTGTTTTGTATGTATGTATGTATGTATGTAAGTATGTATGTATGTATGTATGTATGTATGTATGTATGTATGTATGTATGTATGTATGTATGTATGTATGTATGTATGTATGTATGTATGTATGTATGTATGTATGTATGTATGTATGTATGTATGTATGTATGTATGTATGTATGTATGTATGTATGTATGTATGTATGTATGTATGTATGTATGTATGTATGTATGTATGTTTGTATGTAGAATCGTCATTGATGCTGTTTATTAGAATGCCTTTTTAAATTTTTATCTCGGTTGCTGTAT